CAACAATTTTGCCAACAACTACAGTCCCAGGCTGAAACTGTACTTTCAGTTCTCTCGAAGCCCATTCCTTCAAAGTCCCAAAAACTTCTTGTTGATTAAACATACCTGCATTGTATATTACTGCTGCAGGAGTATCGGAAGATTTGCCATTTTCTATTAATCTGAACAATGCCATCAAAATGCACCCGAAAAGATAACAAACCGTTGTACTTGCCTCTGTGCAATTTCTGATAAATTTCTCGTTGCCATAACGAATACCAATGTTTCTGATTTTGCCAATAGCTTTTACATAATTTAAAACAGTGAACCTGCTTTGAAAAGGTCTTTCCATGTACCTTAAAGTCCAGCTGTGACAAGTCATGCCCGGTTGTTATAGTCAAACTTTTACTCCAATTCTTATGTGTCAATGGAATGCCGGCTAAAAGCGGAGCTGCAAAGACACTAGAAATTCCAGGAACTAAACGATATTTACCACCAAAGCTCTTTATCAAGTCACTTTATCTTGGTACAAGGCAATCTGTTTTCAGCTTACTTTGATATGATCTATTTCCTCGGCCAGTCTCCCAAAAATACCAGGATCTCCTCCTTTCAATCGGATAATATATTTTCCTCTGCGATAGTAATGCTCCAACAAATTATGGATATCCTTATATAACGAATTTAAGCTAGAAGGACGTAGACAGGATACCAGCAAAGAATACCTTTTGCAACACTCTAGTATCTTCGGAACAGTGTATAGCCTTTCCTACTTCAAACTGTTCGCAATCTTTATTGCATAATTTGAGGATTTCCTTGTCAACGAGGTGATCATAAAGTACAACCTGCGCTTTTCTCAACTCTTTCACAGCTGCCCAAGTCAGCCATTTCTTTTCACCAGGTCCCGCTCCCACAAAGACTATTTCTCCCGGTGTTTTCCTTTGACATAATATAATAATTTTGAAACTTCTTTTACAACAGTTGTTTCGTTGATGACATTGAGACCTTAGAACAGAAGAATATTCATTGGAAGTAAAGCAGCACACCGGTTGCAAAACACAGCATATGTATCTAGGTGAAGAGTTGGTTAAACCCCAAATCATAATAAAACTCTCAAAGAGTACTATGGCACTGTTTGCTTATATGGAAAGCCTTGCGCGCCTTTTTTTTTACTTTGACATCGAGAAAAATGCTATGATACAACTTCAATTAGACAGAATCTCTCTTTCTTTGGGGTTGTGCTGCTTATGAGAAGGAGAAATAGCTTTTACCGAGGAGATACGTAAGGTCTTTAAGTCCTTTTGGCTTACTTTTTGTAAAAGAGATTGGAGACATCTAGCTACTAGCTTTGACTTGGTCGTACTTTGGAATTGCCCTTTGAGTATTTCAGTAGCCTCAAAGCCATTAGTCACGTGAACATGCTTGCTTCAACGCGAACACGGAGGAGAACAGAAAACAGGCAGAGAATTCACTCTAGTGGTTTTTTCCCAGAGCTTGACTCGCCTGTTTCACTTTGTCTCATGTGGTTTGCCAACTGGGCACGTTGGGTGCGCCACTGGGTTTGTTCTTTATCCCGTCCGCAAGAGACGTTTTCTGCTCTTTTTCAACGAAGTGTTGCTGCCGTGTTGCAAAGTATAGGCAGTAAATTGGAAATGATGGCGTTTATTCACGCAATAGCTTCCTTGGTTATAGTTTGGACTATGCACATACACTTTGTAGCGAACAGCAGTTGTGAGTCCATTCTAGAACCTTTATTAAAGAATTGCAGTGGAGCGAACGGAGTTATGCCGGATATACTGCAATTTCAGGTTGTGGGTGAGATGTTCAAGTCGAATTTTCATAGTGAAAATATGAAGCAGCCCAACTCGAAGTGCAGTTTTTGGAGCTATGAAGAAATGAAGGCTGCTTCAGTTTCCCCAGAGTGGTTAAGTTTTCCAGTAGCGAAAAAGGGAGCTTTCGAAGAATTTTTAGAAAGTATTCTTTTAAGACCAACAGTGCTTCGTTACTCATCAGAGAAAGGACTACTACTTCTCAATCAGGATTCGTGGCCTAGATACAATGTCACTTTTGCTACACTTGAGATAGATTTGAATCATCGTTGTTTCGGAAACTGGTTTATTCGAAAGATGGTTTTAGAAAGTTTTGTAGGATATGACACCATATTGGTGAATGCAGTAGCACAGTATTTTCAATATAGAGGTTACATTTTACAGTTGCTGAATGGACATCTTATTCATTTGGATGTGATATTTGATGTTAACTTTAAAGGGGAATCTTCCTGGTATAAACGAAGGCAAGCTATAATATTTTGTCCTGTATGGAGCATTTCCAACTGACATGATTTAGTTTTTCATGGGTGGCGAGAAAAGGCAATGTTTTGGCCACCTCAATATTTATTATGGGTATTACTGGAACTTTGGTGACCTTTGCTCTAAGAGAAGTTCGCTCACGTGTTGTAAAACTTACCTTGGAATTACAGCAGAGAAGAACTCATCAAGTAAGCATGATCGGTATTCTTTTTCAATTGACTAAGTATCTTTTATCAGACTTCCATTACTGGCTTATTAATAAGATATTCTGTGGAAGGTGCCGTATTTGTTCCTATTATTACTGGAATGTTGTTCTTTTTACTCGAATTCTTTGACGATTATCTACTTGCTTTTCTGGTAATGAGTATTATGCAATGTTTTTGTTGAAAGTTGATATTATTTTTAGGTTCTTGTTCTTGCATGGGTTTGTGAGCTTTTTTGTCTTATCAGTCGTCGTCATTGGGTTTCACGTTATTACTTACCTCGACTATTCTTTGTATATTTCCTAGCCTTTCATATTTACTTTTTTTCATTTCCTTGTGGTTTTTCGAAAGAAGCTCTTTATGTTTGTGCAGCTTTTATGCAACATGCAGTCTTAGTTGCATGGAACCGTTGGGAAGCACCCTTTTTAAGAGAAAATGTTTGAACATATCGCAATTGTAAATAGTCACTTTCATATCTCTGTCTTGGCAAGTGTTTGTTTTAGATGTCCAATAGTTTACTTTTGGTGAACAGAACTGTAAAAGAGCAAGTTTTCTATATTTTGCCTTGTAGACTTGTTTGGCAACCAAGGCATACGTCTATTCTTGGACACACGTTTTATTGTATATCAGAACGACGGCCATTATTGACTGAAGAGTTTTATCTTTCAGTTGGAAGAGAGCCGAGGTTTCAAAGCAGAAAACCTGGTGAACTTATATATCCTGTAGAGGATTACAATCCTTCGACAAGAAAATCTGTAGGTTTTGGAACAGTGTTTTTAAGAAAAACTGAATGGCAAAGTTATTGCAAGAGTCCTTTAGTTATTGGCTTTGGTTTCGTTTGAGAAACATTTGGAATATGTCTTTCCATACTATTCGTGGAGTCTTTGAAAAGTATTGGGGAACTAAGCCTGTACTTTATCCCATCAAACCGTCCTATATTTATCCCTTTAACGAATGGGAACATACTAGTCGTACTTATTATATTAACTGGTAGGTTTGTTGTACAGCTAAGATATGAGTTGGAAAGGAATTTCAGTATCGTTTATTAGTTTTGGAGAGAGAAGATATCTTGGACATATACGCAAGATAGAATAGGCTTTCAAAGTGATTCCGTGATATAGTTCTTTAAGGAAAAAGTAGATAAGGGGTTTGTATCATTCATTCATTTACCAATCTATTTTTTGATATATTCTTACGATAATATCTTCAGACTGTATTTCCGGATGTAGCCATTCTTTGGGTATTGTATGATAATGAAAATAAGGTTGCATAGTTCGTTCCCATGTTTGGGTTACCTATTATTCCATATGGCTATCTACAAAATGCATTCTTAAAGCACTGTCTTTTACCTCTGGTCGATGATTGTCTTGCGCAAACAATATTTTAGTTTTCAGATTACAAAGTTTGCAAAGTGTGGAAACTAGAGGTTGCACTGATTCCATTCGATATACAAGGTCCGAACATACTACCACCTAGGGACTTACTTTGTAGAACTTAAGTTACCAAAAGAGTGATACATACCTCCGTGTTTTGTAATGTGGGTTGTTGCAATACTTTTTGGTCTCCCCATTCTATCAACATAATCTGAATGTCTTTGTTTCCAAGTAAGTGTTTATTTTTAACCATATTTCCTCGTAATAAGTTCAACGTAGAGTCCAGATCAGACAAAGTGGTTTGTCGTGCACCAAGGATAGAAATGAGGAATCCCAATAACCCTATTCCACTTCCAAGTTCTACTACTCTTTTATCTTTTACCCACTCTGGTTTATTCAACAATAACTGTGCCAATACTAGAGAAGAATCCCACAAGGTACATCCGGTGTCACCTGGGTCTTTAGAAGTTTTGCTCGTAAAGGGTGCTTGATCCAAAGTAAGAATGTCACCTTGTGGTAATTGAAACTGATAAGGTTGTTGGAAACGATGCTTCCAACTTTGTTGACTTGGTCTCCAACTCGAAAATGGCTCTTTCTTCATCTTAACTGGAGTCGACAACATTTCTTAAGCTAACAATCTTCCATTCTTCTTTAATTCAATCGAATTATGGCCAAAATAAACCCCGTGTCGTCCGCTCCTAAACTTAGTGTAACAAGAGAGATAACTATCGGTATTGGTGTTGGTGTTGCGGTAAGTTGTAAAGCTTCAAAGTTTCCCTACGAGAACGAGAAGGGATATTGCCTTTTGGAACCTTCCGACTTGCATACTAACTATTATGTTTTTGGGTTTAGTTTGCGTTGTTGTTCCGTAAGTGGCATCTCAGCTACAAAGAAACGGTAGACAAGTATTATCGTGAGTTGGAGCAGCAAGAACAATCTTCTTCGTGAGGAGCAATGTTTCTCAACGTTGTTATGGAAGGAGTGAGATATCAATAAAGTGATCACTCTTCAAGTTGCCTGCCTTTATTTGCTTTCCCATAGGGTTTCCAATATGCCACAAAAGAGGTCGAGTGCTCAGTGACCGTACTACCAAAGTTGGTCTGTCACGCGTTGTGTCTTAAAGAAGAACAAAATATTCGTTGTTCTCTCTATCGACGCCTAAGACAACTTGGGCCTTTCTTTAGCTCTCTTCACCCCAGTTTGTTTCTACAGATTTCCAACACAATTGATAAGTTCATACTCTACTATGTTGTACTATTCCCCCAAAGTTCCACTCTTCTCCTTATTTTTCTAGAAACTTTTCTAATAGTGTTCCATCCCTGTACAAGCGACAGTCGAATTGAATAGACAAAGTGATTTGCTATTGAGGGCCAACTTATTGGATAGACAATGGCAGGAAATGCGAATACATTCAGGTTGTCCAAGAGACCCACCCCCCTCTGCCCATCTACTTAAGACTACGGCCATCGTCTTACGTCGTTTTCGTAATTATTGTTTGTGCGTTTCTTGATCAGTTAGTTATGGCAGACCCTATTGTGGATATTGCTCCTGACCAAATATATAGAAGGTCTCAAGAGTTTGAACAAGACAATTCACAACCAGAAGATGGAAAACAACAAGGCGAAAAGCTGGACAAGTCGTATTTGAGGTTCAACGCTATTGGAACAGCACTTGGTTTCCTAGTGAACGGTTATATGTACCAAGTTGGCGCTATTTTGTTGACTCTTTACGTCGATGTGTATCATACTGTGAATGACAGCTCATTCTTACAGTCAGCACTATCAACTAGTGTCCTTTATGGTGTTTTGTTTGGTTTGATCATATTCGGTTTTATTGCTGATGTGGTGGGCAGAAAAGCCGGTCTTATTATGTGCTCTTCATTGGTTATTCTCGGTTCCGTCATTTCTGTCGCTGCCAACGGAACAAGTACAGATGGAATGTTTTGGATGATTATTGTTGGTAGAGCAATAGTCGGATTGGGAATGGGCGGAGAATATACTTGTAATGTTCCCAATGTTATGGAAGATAGTGAAGACGTGAGTAGGAAGAATCGAGGACGTCGCGTATCTTTGCTGGTTATGTTTATGGAAGTCGTTGGTAATAATACTCCGAGTGTTTTGCAGTTGATTTTAGTTGCTGCTGCTTGTCGCAATGTGTTTATTGACACTGCTTCGAAAACTGGAGTAGTATTACCTAATTGTCATCCTCAAGTGGTTTGGAGACTTTCCTATGGTTGGGATTGATTCCTTGTATCATTGTTCTTGCTATTCGAGTTCGTATGCGAGATTCTGCTATGTTTGAAGCTGATGCAAAATTGAGAAAGAAATCATATGATTTATTGGATCTTTATGTTATCCTTCGTCATTTCTCTTCTAGAATGATGGGAACTGTGTTTATGTGGTTCTTTATTGATTGGATCAATTATAGTCAAG